TGTACATACGCATACACACATGTGCACACATGGATGAGACAAGCACACACATGTGCGCAGATTCACGTGCACACAGATGTGTGCACACACCTGGTACCTCTTCTTCCCTAGATCAAGTCCAGCATGAACCGCAAGAACGCCAAGTACCTGCTCAAAGGCGAGTCAGCTGGCAAGGTCTTCCGGGTCAACGCAGACACGGGGGACGTGTATGCGTTTGAGAGGCTGGACCGGGAGAAGGTGTCCGAGTACCACCTGGTCGCCCTCGTCGTGGACAAAGACACCGATAAGAACCTGGAATCTCCATCCAGCTTCACCATCAAAGTCCACGACATCAATGACAACTGGCCTGTGTTCACACACAGGCTGTTCAACTCGTCCGTGCCCGAGATGTCAGCTATGGGTACCGTGCCCGCCCCGTCAGTCCCTCCCACTCCCTCCCTCATCCCCAGCCGGGAGGCACCTCTCACCTCTCACCTCAGGGCTCTACTGCCTCAGGTTGGGATTCAGACTGCAGCAGTGGTTTCATAGGCATGTTGCCACTTTGTATGACTCGAAAGGAACTCTGGGCCTTAGACTAAGCTCTGACCTGCCCCCAGACTGAGCCTTGACCCTAGTCAGGAGACTGAACCCTCATCCTGACCTTGGACTGAGCCCTGACCCTAGCCATGAAACTGAGCCCTTATCCTGATCATGGACTAAGCCCTGACTATAGTCAAAGACTGAGCCCCAACCCTAGTCATGAGGCTGAGCCCTCATCCTGACCATAGACTGAGCCCTGATCCTAGTCGTGAGACTGAACCCTCATCCCACTCACAGACTGAGCCCTGACCCTTACTATTGACTAGGACCTAATCCTGGCTGGCAGGCTGAGTTTGTTCCCTGCCCCAGCTCCTCAGAGATGTATGCCCATCTTATAACTCTTTGGAGCACATCACAGGACTGACATGCCAAGAGTCTAGGCTTTGTACATGGAAAGTGCCAGCCCTGCCACCAAGACAAGAAAGGCCACCACTAAGGGGCTCAGGCATGGGGGGGACAGGTGTGGGTACCCAGCGCTCTTGCCCCAGAGCACGTAGCCGGCACCTGGGCCTTGAGTGGTTACTCTTCCTTCCTCAGGGGTGCCCTGGCCACCCCCTTGCCCAGGGCCCCTGGAAAGTGTGGGACCCTGGAGCTGAATGAAATGAAGGATGTGATGCCACGTGATTGCTTTGCCCCCCACAAGGCTGACAGAACCGCCCCCCACTCCACCCTCTCCCCACTGAAGCGCCTGGCCCCTGGCCCAGTCTCCTCAGAAAACAGAACCACCTTGTCTCCCCTTCTGGAGCCTTCTCTCTCCCACCGGCTCTTATCCAGGAAGTGGGGACTGGGATGGTGGTCAGGGGACAGCACCCCAGGATTCTTTCTCTGCAGGAACTTCGGTCATCCGTGTGACAGCGGTGGACGCAGATGACCCCACAGTGGCAGACCACACCTCTGTCATGTACCAGATCCTGAAAGGAGATGACCACTTTGGCATCGATGAATCCGGTCTGTGGGATTTGCCCTTGTGGGCATGCACCACCTGGGTGTGGGGGAGGGGAAGACACACCCCAGGTTCAGATGCTGAGGGACGCCTAGGCTGGCAGGTGACACCTACATACTCAAAGGTTTGCCAACCATGGAG